TATACTTCTGTTGGCACTGACCACACATCCCTGTTTACTTTGCTGGAAAGTCCTTTGTAAGAAGTGGAAAAACAAGTTTTTGATACAAGAGTGGCCCTCATCAGCATTATGTTAGAACAGCATTGTGTATGTTCACTATAAGGATTTTTAAATCCAATATAAGTTGACGACAAAAGATGTTTTTGAAAATTGTTGTGAATTAAGAAGTATTTTGTACTGTTTATTGTTAGTGTTAGAACTTCTGCCACTTATGCCTCACCGCTATTGATCAACACTATACAATTACAGGAAATTCAGTATATGATTGCAGTTGGATACTTTAACAGTTTACATTCTAAGAGGCTCCAAGGACATTCAAAATACAACTATTAATACAGCAATATTTATGTTTAAGGCAACTAGAAAATTGGATGTGTGGGTATAATGATGAAGTTGGCCATGTGAGTGAGTGAGTTTGTGTGTGTAGGCATGTCAACCTATATGTTAAATTTAAGTGACAATATAAAATCGTCTTGGTGGTAAACTAAGAAAGAGGCCCTTGTTAAAAAAAGGGATTGTACCATTTCCATCAGACCTCAGGTTGCCACAACTGTTTGATTAACTCCTTTAGGGTACTGATGAGTATGTCACAAACATCTGGATATTATTTGATACTACTGTAATTTAGTGAGCATTATGACTTTAAACACATGCACTTTGCACATATTTATCAGTTTAAAAGGCAGCAAAATAAGAAGACATTATTATAATTTATGCCATTCAAATTCATGTAAATTACAGTGAGTCAGTCAATACCTAAAGCTAGCAGAAATTCTCAATGGAAGAACACAATTCAACAGAACTCAACAATGAATTACATCTAACTCCAAACTTAAACATCTTTACCCCGCTTTCGCCTCTTTAAGTTGCAAAATACTGCCATCTTTAGCACCTAGTACTAACTTTGCACTGAGAAAACTGAAGCAAGGTCACGGAGGAATAACGTTGCTTACAGGATATTAAATCTCTTATGCATCTCAATATTTGCGAATATGTTGCACTTGAAAACGTGGCGGGCTAACGATTCCGAGCGGCGGGGATGCCGACTATAAAGCTATGCTAAAACTGGCATTCAATGTAGACCAGTTTGAAACTTTAGCAAACTGAAACAATGCTAAATTGTTTGGTCGTAAAGATGGCTAACGTATAGACAAACTAGCTCGAGTTAACATTAGCTACCGTCAGTGGTTTCGAGCAACATTGGCGCATGAATTGTTCGTATTTTAAGCGAATTACGGCAGATCGATTTGTGGAAAAAATCAACTAAACTAATCGTTACAACAGAACTCGCCTCACAATATCATATTTCTGTTGCATAACAGATATGTGTTAGCTAGCTTGCTACTGAAGCTAGCACAAGGTACGCGTTGATCGTAAAGGCCTTCGCTCGTAGGTTCAAATGACACCAGATATGATGGCGGAGGGGGCGGAGAGTTGAGATCAGACTCCCGGCCTGCTCCGCCAATGTGCGGACGACCACCTCCACTCGGTTGTCGGCGTTAAGCTAGGGCTAACGCCATGTAAACAAAACACACACAATGCCAGAAACAACAGAGCTTTATCCGTCAAAGCACTTAATGCAAATAACCTTCTCAGGACAGATAAATCCAAACCGCCCGAGCAGCAAGAGCCGAGGTTAGCCTGTTAGCTCACGTTAGCCAGCTAGCTAAAAGACAAGCTGCAAAGAGGAACCATGGCTTACCTTCACTGTTTATAGCTACCAGACTGGTTGTCTGCACGGCGTGTCTACAGCCAATATATCGTATGCATTGGTCTCTTTAAACACTGTAAACGTATTCATTCGACAGAATCGTACTTTCAGAAAGTCGCGCTCTGTATTTTATTTATTATTTTTCCCTCTCCTCCAACGGTCGCAGCTGCGTATCAGTATGTGTCTGCTGGCTCCCAGTCGCTGCTCTTCTTGTTGTTTGTGTTTCGGAAACATGGCCGTCCGTGTGATACCACGTGACTGGACATTGACAGCAGCTAACCAATGTTGTAGCAGGGCAAACACACCCCTATTTACTAGCCTGGACACTGATGTGTACCGCACTTTGCAACACGTTTAGGTGCAGATCGTCTGAGCTGGATGGGTTTAATTAGCCAGTAGGCTGAGGAGCGAGGTCAACTTTAGCATGAGATTGTTTTTAAGGCGTTTAACATCGAAAGACAGCCAGCTCAATACTAATTCACGAGGCAGCAACGTGTAGAATGTAGAATTATAAAATTAACTTCTGTCAAAGTTATTTCATAAAATTTGCAGTTGATCGCCTCGTGCTTGAAATGCTTCGTGAGATATTTCGAGTTATTAGCTATCAATACCCTTGAAAGTGAAGTGAATGACTAACAGGGCATGTTGAGCGGTAATGTCGAACTGAGCATGTGCAATGCCTTTGTGGACGGCAGTATAGGGTTTAGGCAGCAGAGGGCGCTGTTGAGTAACAGTGGCACTATAAATATACAGTAGTAATGTTAAATGATTTTGGACCTTCACACAACCTGCTCCTTTGGAATGAGGCCGTTGTTAACTTATTGTAAAGAAGATTAAATAAACACTGAGGATATATAAGAAAAGGGGGCTGAAAATGGATGAGAAAAATATTGAGGAAATGTGCAGGTGAATTAAATCGAACTTAATACTGAAAATGTAACAACATTAATAGTTATGGTTTTTAATTGCATATTAAAGAGGTACGGATATGTGTTAGACTAACTGAACACAAGAAGCTAAACAGAAGAAAACTAATATCACAGACTGAAGTAAACAAATCACAACACCTCTAGTGTGACATTTAAATAAATGAGATGTTGTTAATTAAAACGACCAGATAAGGAAATGAGTAAATAAGTAAAATGGGAAGACATGATTACTACAATTTAATAATTATTATTGTGAGTATAGAAGCATCAGAGTGTAAATAATTACTTATGTTAATAAGATCCCAAAGCAACAGGTGCCATTTGGTTTGAGGTCATTTTCTCCAACACTAACTGAAATGATAACAGCCGTAGGGGAGGTCCTGAATTATTACCTAATTGAATCCTGAGGCCCTGAGTGGTCCTATGTTAGTTTTAAGAATGTTATTTTTTTTTAATCTATGTTATATTGTATTGAGATGGTGCGTATTCCAAAATAAATTGGGTTTTAATTAATTAACCTCAAACTAAATGACACACAACCTGTACAATGTACAGACAATGGAGGAACACAGTGTCAGTAGGGGCTCAGCAGCTCATTTGTACCTTACAGCCACCAACAAGTTAATCCAGCCATGGAGGTGTCTCTAATATTCTGTCCACCCACATGTATGTAAATGTGGGGAATAAAACTGCAGGATATCTGTATTGAATTGTATAACATGGTATTCGTATTGTTTGTTTATTCATTGTGTGTTATAAAGTCATATAGGAAACAGCATAACTGTGACTATTAATGTCAGTATTGATAGCTCTAATAATAGTAATTATGAAAATAATCATTATATTCGTCAACTTATGTGTAGTTGTAGTTGCTTAAAATGGCCACTAGAGGGCAACCATCAGTTTATTTGTGTATTCGATCAACCGTTGCACCTTTGATGGATGAATAACTACTGAAAACAACCACTGAAATGTTTATGTGTACTCACAAAAGTGTTGTGACCATTGTGTGTTAGTCATTTTAATACAGCAAAGACAAAATACAAGAAATACAACAACAAAATCAACCATATGAGGGGATGATACATCAGTTTAAAGTAACCCCATATTGTGTATGTTATAGTGTTAGTTACATTCAAGTGAAAAAATTAAATAAATCAACTACAACGGATAATAAACTGAAATCCAGCAAACTTGATGCATATCAATTAATGCATGAAGGTACTGTTGACTACACATAAAGTCATAGTGACTAAAGTCTAAAGTATAAGTTATAAAACAGTGTAGTCTATGATATGTTATCCCACCATCACTCTTTGTATAACCGTGTCCTGTGGTGGAAATTGGCGGTGCTGGCCCCGTGTGACGGGTAGCTGCTGATGGTCTCCAGATCCATGTGGGTCATAATAACTGAAACATAAATAAAGGGAAAGACTGTTGAGTTGGTTGAGCAAACCACCTAGATATCAGCCTCCATCACTTAACCTAACACACTTGAATATGATGATCATGTAAATGACCTAGGCCACTTATCTGTTGATTTATTTACGTATTATTGTTTTATTTTATTTACCTTTATTCATTTCTTCTCCATTTTTTCTCTCCTTTACACATAAGAGGGAAATGCAGGTATGTATGTATGTATGTATGTATATGCATACCTGCTCATACCTCGGTTTCTGCCTCTTGTTTACTACTGTACATACTAACTAATACCCACCCAGTTTGAACTCATGTTATATTCCTTCGTTTATTTTTGTCATTTGTTTTACTTTGTATAGTAAGTCTTTCATAAGTCTTTTCGCTGTTTGTGTCCCTGTACTTTATTGCACAGTTAAGACAAAAAAGTAAATAACTGCTGTCTCATCTTCCTTTTTTTCCAGCCAGTTAAATTGTGGGCTCTTTGTAGTTGGTAGTTGTTCCTCATTCACTTTTGGCTGTGTTGGAAAATAGCCTATTTATAGAATGTCAAGCAGTGTATATAATACATGAATACATACAGATACCGGGATATTACTTGTCTTAAAGGTAAATACATTGAACACAGTGAACTTATGAGAGCCTGAGAGATGCAGGCTGCACAGTGTAGGAGCAGATATGTAAGTTACCCAGCCAATAGACCCACTCTGAACTGCTGCTGCTTTGCATACAGAGTCTCTGTCCAACAGCCATTATACTTTACTAGATTATGACAGCAACACAATACAGGATGACATATTAAACAGAATATCTCACCACCACATGGAATTCCTTCATTCGTAGTGGCGTGTCAAACCCCAGATGATGAGGAAATTACTTGGTTTCAAATTATTTTCATCCAGTCCAGCTGTGTGACGATGCATCTGTTTTGCACCTGCTGCGTCCTATCTTTCTCCCTGCTGATGGCGTCACCCCTGGTGAGTGCCACTGTGTCCGACAGCTTCAAAGTCTGCAGCCATTTTTTCTACATGCAGACACCACCTGCAGGGATGAGGGGAGCCAGCCCGAGGAAGATCTGCCAGAAGTATTCAGACAAACTCCGCTACGCCACCTTGTATGACAGCAGTCGCCGCCTCCCCCTCTACTCAGCCTACATCTTTAAGAAGTCAGATGGGAAGAGGAGAATGGACACACCATGGATGTATGAGCCACAGGTTGGTTTATTTGTTACTCAGTGTCAAACCTGAGAGAAGCTGAATGCCAGTTTGTCTGACAGCAATAAGATCAACTGTAGTACAATCAGGGGTGTAGTGGGGGGTAAACCCAACAAAACTCAGTTCATCCACCTCTTTGAAATTAGTTTACTCATTTATTTCAGATCAACTGTACCAACAAGGTAATTTACCCACCTCTGTATTTACCACTATACCCCTGACTACGATTGTATTTCAGTCTAGTTGCTTTTGCAGAAAAGATCAGTCAGTGCTGTTATTAAAGCCAACAGCAATAAAACAAATAGTACAGTGACATCACCAGATAGGTTTGCAAAGGGACATTTTATAGCTTGGATTTGAGGTTACTGGCAGCCATTTTGGTAAACAAGACCATATGGAGCTCATGCCGGATAAACAAGCAGCAATCAACACCTGATAGGTCGCGTCACCTGCCAATCACCCAAACATGCCCCCGCACATACTCTTCTTTAAAGGAATAGTTTGATGTTTTGGACAATATGCTTGTCCGCTTTTTGGCAGAGTGTCAGATGAAAGGATTAATATTACTCTCAGCAGCTGGTTAGCTTAGCTAAGCACAAAGACATATGGCCTACACGTACAAAAACAGTCCAGACATGAGATCTTCTCATCTAACTCTTTAAAAAAATGAATAGATGACAACCATAACTTAAAGACCATAACTTGTGGTGGGGGAAACACTACTGGGATTAGATCTGATAAGAGAAGATGAAGCTTTTTAAATGGAATCAGTCAGAAATGACATTAGTGGTACTGCATTTTAAGTCTGTTCATGCATTGGCTAGTGTTTTGGCCTTTGGAATAACCCTACATTTTTTTTCATTTCTTTCCCCTACAGTTGGTTTCTGATGACGAGAGTGGCAACATGAGAGCACTTCCCCTCACGGAAGATGCCCCCCCTCTGATCGAGGACAGCCAGGCTGTGCTGGAGGACTACACAGATGCTGTAGAATATAGACGTGGCCCACTGAATCCAGACTTGCACCAATCAGAGCCCGATGACAAATCCTCCACATATACTCTGACCAATGTAGTCCCATTAATCACAGACTTCCTGGACACTTCCTGGAACCCATACTTAGACATCATCCGCCGTCGCCTCAACAACTTCTGCCACGGCAAATCTTTCATGGTGACAGGGGTGACCATTTCTGGGGCGGCCATCCAGCGAGATAACAGGGACCGCCTGGCAATCCCAAAACACGTATGGCTGGCATACTGTTGCCCACGGTTTGACAATAACTCTCCATATGAGGTGAGGTTCATGTTCCCTAGTTATGGGGGCTATGCACTGAATGACCAGACCGACCACAGTGTGGTGGAAGTTCCTCTGAAGACTCTCGAGAGCTTCCTGAAGAGCCAAACAGACATAGATAGTGACCTGACTATTTTTCACAAGGGTTGTGTGTCAGAAAACACCTTCAGGAAGAAGAGAGGCCTGACCAGTGTTTGAGTATGATGGGACATCTTGAACTGGATGTGCAGTCAGGGATAAAGCCTCTGATGAAATGCACCTGCTCTATAAACAGAACGAACTCAAGTAAACTTTAATAGGGGCTGTTTTAAGTATATTAAGCATCCCATATTGTAGAAACGGAGATTTCCTTTTTTTTCCTTTTATAAAGCAGGTCTAGGTTCCATACTGTATCAAAATGCTCAATCCACAGAGAAAAGCACAGAGCTGTATTCAGAAACGAACAGTCAGGACTTCTGTAAGGTTGTAATGTCACGACTAGTCAGCATGCCCTCAGCATGGCTACAATCTGTTACCTGTAGTAGGCCTGGCATCGCTTAGAAAACAGTCACCCAATCAGAAAAGAGGCTCATCAACTTTAATATAAAACACAACACACCCTGTTCTTGCTAGAGCTGCATAAAGAAGCGTAAGATAGAAGATGTAAAGCTACAGTATATTAAGATGGTTGTTGAAACGTGTAAAATATGGGACCTTTAAGGAGGGAAAAGGCCAGTTCCTGACTAACATAGCCTTTGATTTTGCCTTCAATGGGCCAGGTTTAGATACAGATTAATAGTCTGCACCACTAAAGGAAATGAGGTCTAAAACTGCACAGTAAGTGTGCATCCTATGCCAATTTTGTATCACACTTCAAAATAGTTGGGGGACTGGAGCAGAGCCTGAGATATCCTGACTTTCAGCAAAGCTCTAAAATTCTTCATGCAATTCTAATTCATACGTTTAAGTCAAGTATAATTCAAAGAGAAGAAACTCCCCATGTAGCCTAAAACAGATTAGGTTGGGTTATCTATTTCACAGTCCAGATGTTCAAACCAAATATAAACCATGTTCCTGAAATACCTACCTCATTTTGGCTTTATGTAGCTGAATGCTTTTAATACATTACATCCATCTATCCATCTATCTTTCTTTCTATCTTTCTATACTGTGAAATTGTAAAAAGATCACTGAATACTGACAAGTGAAATCAATAGCACATTTGTAAAAAACATGAATGAAATACAATAAAATAAAAAACAAAGCTCATTTGTTTCAATGTATAATGTTATATATGGTTCATAATGCACTCTGTAGTCTCTAGTGTTCCCCAATAAATTTGATCTTATGGTCTTTCATCTCCTATTTTATAGTTAAATCATTCTGTATCATCTTCCAAGTAACCTGTAAATAAGTATATAATTATAAAATTATGCTTTGCAATTTGATTACATTTCACCAGATTTCCTAGTTACGTTGCAAATTGTGCTTTGTGAAGAGAAGGCTCACAGTGCTCAAGGACATATAAGACTGCAATAACTTGGAATGTACCATTATTTCATTATGTTCCCTGTTTCCACTGTCTCATATCCAATACAATCTTATTTGTGAGCAGATTCTTTATTATTCTTTCATTTACTTTCAAAACATTACTTTAGTAGTTTTCTTAATCTTTGACAATGAACATAAAATTCCCAAATATTCTCCTTTAAATTCCTCTGAAAAAATTCAAATATAGACATGTTTTCCAACATTGTTCATGATTATATCAGTATATTCTGTATCTTATTATTCCAGTGCTTTCATTGAAGCTATCAAATTTATAATGAGTGCAATATTTAAATTCAAGATACTGGTATTTTATTTAAAAATTGTCTAGTGCACAACTTGTTCACTATGATATCCATGATAATCTCTGAAAAGCATCTGAACTTCGACCAGAATTGTACATAAAATGTTGTATATTCGGAGAGTTCTTGACTGCAGGGGTGCGTTGGTTTGAATAGGTTTAAGAAGAGGTAAGACTTTTTCTACCTTATTCCCCACACTGATGTCTTTGCTATTAGCTATCAGCAGTAGCTGTTGCTCTAGCTGTGGGTGGCCCTGCTGAGGTGTGCATTGTTTTGCATATTGAGTCCTGATTACAGACAGCAGAGTGTGAAACCTGTGTTAACTGTTACTGAGCTCCAGGGTCAGATATAGACACATTCAATCATTTGAAGCAGCTCACAGAAACACACTTAAATTTGACAGCTTTATCCTCTCACCAGAGCAACATCGAAGCCCACCTGACTATGGCATTTTGGGTGCAGACGGCTTTCCTGCTTATTAACATAATAACATCAGCGGTAAGAGGGAGAGTGGAGAAAGAGCTGTCTCCAGAGTGCAGAGAATTCCTCTACATGGGAACAACTCCGACTGGGCTGGAGCACCACTCCCTCCAGTTCATTTGTCAGCGTTACAACAAGAAAATTCGCTATGTGACTCTGTACAACACCGTGGACCATATACCCGTCTACTCTGCCTACACTTTCAAACGCTCAGATGGGGAGAAATGCGTGGATGTCCCGTGGATGTATGAACCACAGGTAAAGAAAAAAACATTGGTTGAACATGCTAAGAAATTATTTTAACATGATCAGAATGCTATAATTGTTCTGTATGTCAGTATTCTTGTGCAAAATCTTCAATTCATGCATTAGTTGTGTAATCGCACTCTACCATCCTATCCTCATCCTCTGCACTGGGTCTGTCTGTCTGCCTACACAGCTCTCCACCACCTCTGATACAGATGAGATGCAACCTTTCCCACGTGGTTACATGCATATGAATTTTGAAGATGCCCAAGCTGTTCTGGATGATTATACGAACGCTGTGCTTTACGAGCGGGGAACCCTCAACCCAGACGAGCATCAGGACGAACCGGATGACAAGGCCTCCACCTACACCCTCACTAATGTTGTGCCCATGGCGCCCGACTTCAACAACAGAGTCTGGAACAAACAGGAGCACATCGTTCGCAAACGGCTTAACAACTACTGTCGTGGGACAGCTTACATCGTCACAGGTATCACCACCTCTGGGAAGATGATCCGCCGGGAAAACATGAACCGCATTGCAGTGCCCACATACTTGTGGTCCGCTTATTGCTGTGTTGACTACGACCACAATGCCCCTTACAACGAGCGCTATAAGTTCCCGTCTTTTGCTCACTATGGCCTCAATGAGGACGAGAACAACGAGGTGGTGGAAATCTCCGTCCAGAAGCTGAAGGAGTTCCTCAAGAAGACAACCTTTGTAGATCAGAACTTTCAGATCTTTGTAGGCGACTGTATGCCACCAGCGTCCATTACTTCCAAATAGGCCAATATTTAGCTATAAAGCAGCTGTTCTTCTTCAATAGGCCTTTTTAACAGCACACATTTTGACTCGTCACAGGCAGAAAAGCACTGGTGTTACTGATAACATTAACAATGGCTCTGTTCAAGTGTCTCAGTAAGCCATGACAATGTAATAGTGAGTCAGCATACACAATACCAGGTCCCTGAAGCAGCTCAGTGGATTTCAACCGTGATTCATATTGTGGTTTACACCGGTACTTTTCCTGCTGTGAAATGTCAAAATGTTTTCTGTGATAAAAGTCTATGGCCTATTGGAGGAGCTTAATTAAGTCATACAAAACATTTGTATCAACACTAAATACACACTGTCAAGTTATTTTGAATACTGTACAGAAATGTATTCACTGCTGAAAAGTTCCACTGCTTTGTGTAATTTACAGTAATAAACCTTTGCAAACTGTAATTAAACTGTCATTGGAACTTTATCTGATGCTCATGTAAGCATTACTTACTATCATTCACAAAAAATGAAAACTATTGTAAAATTAACACTTTAAGACCTCTTCTGGTATTGATTTCATACTCCTTATCTCATACTTTTATCTTTTTCCTACTGTCCTACATGAAACCACCACATACTATATTACAGAAACAGCATTATAATTTATCTCTAAAATTAACAAAGCCTTTCATGGGCTCATACTTGGTGAAGAGAACAGACTTAGAGGGTTGAGGATACTCTGCAGAGATTCTATAGCTTTGTTTTCCCCTCCAAAGCTGAAACAGATGGCTGCTTTACATTTGTGTAAACAAACTGCAGTGTAAATAACAGATCCCATCTCTTTCTCTTCTATGATGCATGGATTCACATTGCAATCCCTTGGGTTTCTTCCTAACGTTTCTTTCATTCTCACTCTTACTCTATAACCCTCCGTCTCAACACAAAACCAAATGTAAAACAAAGCTATTTGTGCACAACTTGAAGGAATGTTCTCATTATTCATAAGGAAGTATAAAGTCAGCATCATTTTTTCCTCTGTAGCTCCCAGTAATAAAATGCTCTCGACTGTTGATAACATTCACTGCTTTTAAATTACTGCTACAACCCTCGTGGCACTTTGAATATATGAAAAAGACTTCACAATGGAAGACCAGTTTGCTCTAAGTACAGATCAGGCAAGAAGGAAAGTGTTGAGTGTGATATAGCTGGGAAAGAGGCTGTACTTGTTAGACATAGTGGATTTGGCGTGGTGAGAGAGAGACATACGGGCAGACCTAGAGAGGTCTATGAGGACATAGGCATTTTAAGATTGAGGGAAAGAGACCTTTCATGATGATAACTACAACCGAAAACTGTGCCTTACCTCTGGTGGCAGCTGTGACCGTGCTGACCTGTCTGCTGCTGCAGGGGGCCCAGGCAGGAGTGGTGGGGGACTTCAACCATGCAGAGCGCTGTAAGGACTCTCTGTACATGGGCACTCCACCCCGAGGCTACCTCAGCAACTCCTTAAAGAAGATCTGCCAGAGGTATGAGGATAAACCCCGTTATGTCACCCTATATGACCCCCACAAACACATCCCCATCTATTCTGCCTATACGTTCAAGAAGTCAGACGGGGAGAAGAAGGTGGACTTCCCTTGGATGTTTGAGCCCCAGGTGAGTGTGCTTTTTAGCTTAATCAAAGTCAAGCTTAGATAGTCTGTCTTCAGTCTGAATTTTCAATCAAAATCCATTGAAGGTAGGTGTGCTTTCTCTGTGCATGTAAATACAGTTTACTATGTATCCATTTATATTTACTTTAAAAACATACATGTACATCTATGTGCTACATTTATCAAGGATTTAGTTAATAAATATATTTTTCATATATTCATACCTAACGAGCAGTTTGGAGAGCTGGGGCAACTTTATTACTGCTGCTACAGGCAACACAGTGAGCTTGAGATAAGCCACTTTATTGGCTCTATTTCAATGAGATACTGTTGCCATGACCATGCTCTAGTACAAGGTTATGCAAACGTGAAATTTGAAATGTTTTTTGTGAATGTGGATGAATGCCAAAAAACTTGGAATGATGAGTAAACATTTTCAGCTTTACTTTTTCGGAATAAAATGTGCAGCAATATTGCGCTTCCCCATCTCTCTCCCTATATAGTTGGCCTCGGAAAAGAGTAGCAGTAACATGGAGTCTTTCCCCCAATCTTCAAGCATGCATATGAACTTTGAGGACACCCAGGCAGTCCTGGAGGACTATGCTGATGTGGTTCAGTACGAACGTGGCCAGCTAAATCCTGACGAGCATCAGGCTGACCCTCTGGACAAAGCCTCCACCTACAGCCTGACAAATGTGGTACCCCAGATCAGAGAGTTTAACTTGGGTCCCTGGGCGGAACACCAGGACCTCATCCGCAAACGTCTCAACAACTACTGCCGTGGCAAAGCGTTTGTGGTCACCGGGGTCACCACCTCCGGGCACACCATCCGTCGCAACAACCTGGATCGGGTGGCTGTACCTGAGTACATGTGGTCGGCCTACTGCTGCACCGAGTTTGACCAAAATGCACCATACTTTGTGCGCTACAAGTTCCCTGTGTTTGCAGCTTATGGGCTAAATGATCGCGTCAACAACCACATGGTGGAAGTTCCTCTAAAGAACCTGGAGAAATTTCTCAAGGGGAGGATGGATGTGGACAAGAACTTTCAGATTTTCTATAATGACTGTGTGCCAGATAACTGAGATAAAGTGGGTGTGATGTCAGTTATAATTCAGGTGTGTTGCTGCTGCAGAAAGGTTGCTGCTCAAAACACACATGTAACTAAGATGTGCTGGCAAATTAGAATATATATTGTAAGCAATAAAATGGGGAACTGATTGGAGTCTGTCTCATTATGTCCAACTGTACATTGAATGATTTTCTTCATTATCATTTACGCTGCATATTAGTTAATGCAAATAAAAGAAATAGCAAAAACCTATCCATCACAATATGCCAGAAACCAAAAGTGGCGGATTGCTTGTTCTGTCACACCAATTGTTGTAAATAATAAACATATTCAGTTTACAGCAAAACAGAGAAAGGACGCAAATCTGTGTATTTGAGAAACCGTAGCCATAGAATCTTCAGTTAGTAATAGTTGACCAGTGTTATAATATTCACAATATTGATAATGTAGTGCTACTACTGCTCTCACTAAAGCTAACGTGCCATTTTAATCCCATTTAAGAATATTTGATCAATGAGCTTTTGAAGCTTGGAATGAAACCATCATAGGAAAAAGTTGGGTTTGACCAGGAGTTTAATGTAGAAAAGGATCAAGTTGCTCTACTTTGCTCTTCAAATATGTTGTAATTACTGATTTCATCCAGAAGATGGCACTACAGCTCATTTTAAATTATAAATGCAGACAACGACCCGAACACTTTACATTGCATCTATATGAGAAAATATCACATTTTTCAATAATAATAATAATATAATAATATTTTCAATAATAAGACAATAATATGTCTGACAACACAAATATGTCTACCAGTAGTTTATGTTCCTTTTTTGGCTGTCTGAGGCATACACACATTATAAAATGAAGACTGATCCAGAGATGAGACTCTTTTCCACGCCACCCACCCGTGTCTCTGCAGCTCAGTAGGCTCCAGCTGACATCCATAGTAATGAGGGTCAACAACTAGCAAGTAGCTCCCCATGTCCCCAGTGCAGACTCCTAATATCCCCTTAGAAGAGTTGTCCCTGTCCCCTCCCATCATGACTGGAGATCCATGCTTCTCAAAGTGCTGATGGAGCTCTTCCACTGCCACATGCTCCAGCTCTGCCCCTCCACCTCTAACATGTACCAACTTACAGGGAACATCATAGAAATAGTCCAGGACCAGGGAGGCTTCAAATGTCCCTATCCACTCCCTGGAGCCTGAGAACGAGCCTGGTTTGTCCCCCATGGTGACCAAGGCTTGTTGGATGTGTGGGAGGCTCGGAGGGGGCCTGTGTTTGCCCGTAGGTGGAGACCAGTTCTGACAAAGCCAGGAAGCCATTGTCTGAACGGTGCGGTAGCCGCATCCCCAGCCTCTGTCATCCTGTCCATCACAGCCATAATGGAAGTAGAGGTAGTCTCCTTTGATCAGAGAACATTTAACAGGATCTCTAAGTGGATTACGGAGACCGGTGTGGACATTCTTTGATAAGGGTTTGGTCTTCCTCATTATCTCCCCCTCTTCAGCTCCACTTCCTCCCCAGTCAATCTCCTCGGACTCTGCTGCTATCACTTTTTTATCCATTTTTACAGTTTGTCTCTACTGTTGTGGGTAATTCATCCGAAAGTTGTCGGTTGCAACCGCAGTAACTGTCCCTTCGGTGCACTTGCAATGATACTCGAGTTCCGCCTTAACATTCGTTCCCACTGGCTTTTCGTCAGCTTCGTTCATGCTGGCCAATATAACTAGAATAACTGACCACTGATTTTTTTAAAACTTGGTTTTAAACTTCATATATTTTGGAATATCGTAGGAATATTTTATATGTCTATGGGGGAAAAAAGTCTGAATTCGTGTTAGCGGTTTAATTGTGGAAACAAAGTGGAATAATGCTGCAGTAATAAGGAGCAGATTTGGCTTTAATTAATAGCTGTCGACATTAGTAGCAAACTTTAAATGAAATTATAATGAAATATCTCATATTGACGAGTTTTACTTACAAAGCAGCCTCTGAAGAAAGCACGCGCGCTATCCAGTGCACGCGAGCGACACACGTCTCAACACACCTGGCTGTAATTTATTTCACGCTAATTAATAATTCGCTAGCTTGTTTTTTCTTCAGAAAAATGGCGACCAGTTTTCTCTTCGTCTTCTTCTTATTGGTTTTGTTGTCTGTGCGCGGCGTTTCTTCCGCTGAAAAAAGTCTCGGACTTGAAATAAAATGCGGAGAAGTGAGCGTAAGAATAACCGTAAAGCGACAGTTTTTCGAGGAGAACCGTATTCCGTTCCAACCGGAGTATCTTCGACTTGGACCAAACTCAACACAGCAGAGGTCATGCGGACCAGAGAGAGCAATGTCTGAATCTGAAATGGTCATATCTGCAGGACTACAAGAATGTGGGTCTGAGTCCAGTGTAAGAGAAATCAATCTGATGTAATAATGCAGTCTTGCATTGCACCACAAGTAACTACATTGTTAGACTATTATCCACTTGTTACTTAGTTTACTATCCTCCATACATTTATGCAACCATAGTACCAACAAATACAACCTGACTCTTTTTTTCTTTCGTAGTTTCATTCATTTCTTTATAATTGTTACTATCCAGGTTCAGGGTGAGTGGCTTGTGTATTCCAACCGGCTGGTGCTGTTTCCAGCTGCAGTTCCCACCTCTGCAGGCAGTGTGATAGTTAGAGGGGCCACTACTGTCATACCTGTTGAGTGCCATTATAAGAGGTAAGGCACATGCCATGTTATTTTATAATTCTTCATGTGTGTAGCTACAGAGAATCCATTTTCCTTGGCTGAGGTTTTCTATACTGTATAATACCTTATCGTAACAAAGTAAAAGGTTGCAGTTAGCTGTCATTAACTCTTTGTAATTGTATAACCTGTGCATTATCTTTGTGTGAGCACAGAAAGCAGACAGTGAATGGAGAACCATTAACCCCAACCTGGCTACCCATGACATCCACTGTCGGTGTCTTTGGCCTTCTGCACTTCTCCCTTCGTACCATGACAGGTGAAACCTGTCTCAATGAATCGAGGCTGTATCAGTGCCAGAGTCCTCTAACCACAGTAATATGCGGCTATATTGTTTTCTATCTGGAATCCAAATGAAACTTGGATTGAAAACAATGTCTGTTCTCATGCAGATGGCTGTATGTCTCTACGTAGTTCCTCAGTGTATCAGCAGGGGGAAGCAGTGTTTTTGGAGGCCAGTGTGGAGGCCCCTCTGCACCCTCCTCTTACTCTATATGTCGACTACTGTGTGGCTACCCTGAAGCCCGATCCTCTCTCCTTGCCAAGCTACAGGTTTATCACTAAGCATGGGTAAATCATTCTGTCTATAAATAAATAACTTTATATAATAATAGCAAAAATAACATTTTTTTAAACTTTCAACATCAACTAGATTAGATGCATCATGTCTGAATTTGATGCCATTCATGGAATACTTTGAGCATGTGTTGCTCCTCCCTTACAGATGTCTTTTGGACAGTGTAGTGCCAGGGTCTTCATCTAAATTCCTCCCTAGGGAGCGAGATAGCAGACTATGCTTCAGTGTGCAAGCAGTGTCTTGGGAACAGGTAAGGACACCTCATTGGACAGTAGCCAGTTCATTACTTCTGAATGATAATATTGCCATCAGAGTCATAATTTTAGCTCAAAGGGGGCTATTTGTGTAATTTATTGTATCTACAGTGTTTGTTTAGCATTTACTATATGCATGTTTAATTGATTGAGGTCTAAATATTTATAATATTGTTGAAATTAATCCTGGATCAAATGTACTTTATTTTTTTGGGTTTCTTTTTGTAGATGTTCATCAGCTGCCACCTTAGGGCCACTCTAAAACAGAGTTCACAGAGCCACCTTAATAAAGCCTGCTTCTTCCACAGGCCCACATTCAGGTTAGGCTGCCAAACTGTTGGTGAACTTCAGTTGTTAAATCCTGATTTGGTCTTACATGTGATACATGTTTGAGCTGATAACATCCACTAATAAAGTGTATTTTATTAGCTGGGGCATCACAGCTGAGGTGTATTACCAGGATGTTTCTCTGTCATTCAGCTGGCATGCCACAGAGGGAGACACTGCTCTGTGCCAGTGCTGTGACTCAGATGACTGCTTTACACAGACTGAAGAGGAGACCAGTGACCACACAAGACACACACATCAACCAGATGGAGGTTGCTCAGCCCTTTATTTTTTTTACCAGTTAACAAATCATAGTATGGCCATAGCAACTTGTGTATTTGATACACACTGTAGCCTGTGTAGTTACATGCCATGCATACAACTACTAAGCCAGTTGTTTATTTATTTTTGACAGAAAAGAAGAATGAGGCGGACACAACCGTTGGGCCACTTCACACGCTGCCACGCTCCCATTGGACAGGCCGTCTGTCAGTCAATTACTAAAGAGCCTTTTTCTTTACAGTTAGGTGGGTACAGGGACTGCCGAGACCAAAACCAGTTGTTGGACAATAAAGCATTAATCACATGTTGTTTTCTCTCATGACTCATCAATAAAGTTGAAATTTGAATTGTAAAAAATATATAGTTGAAAACCATTGGTAGCCATGAACGCTATAGCACTGGCTTTACTTATTTATACTTTGAGGCACCTATAAAACCCATTTAAAATTCCCGCCTGTTGGACTTATTTTTTGATCATTTATTTTTCTCTATGGCAAAATATGTGTTCTTCATCTCAGACTGTGTCAGTTAAATGATACTACCTAAATATGTTTCTGTAAATGTTTGTAATAACAACTACAATAACACGCTGCAAACTGTCTGAACTCTCTGTGTCTGCATGTAGTATAACACTTCCATGCTGTGTGCCAATGCAGTGAGTCAGTGCTGTTCCTGTTTTGACTGAGGATGCTCCTAAACCAGAACGGGTCGGTCAGTCGGTCATGCATACTTGTAGGAAGTTGTACTTGAGTTGCAGGAGAAACAAACAAAACAACACAGGCCACTTCTCTCAGTGATGGTTTCATTTTCCAACATTTTACGATACAAATTAATTAGTGAATGATATGTTTAAGGTACTATTACAGTGATGTATTAAAGCTATTTCTCTTTAGTTATCTCAATTACTTTGATATGAGGACAGAAATCCTGTTTATAAATGTGTGTCTGGTCTGAGGCAGACTAGGTAGTTTCAACATGACTGAAGAATGGGTGGTTTTTCATTCAGCCATGAAAACTGATAGCCATGAAAACAAACCCATGAGGAATTTCCACAAAGACGTCGAAGAACTACAATGGGACCTAAAATATCTCGGGGGCAACAAGCACACTAGAATAAACAGACATTGGAGTAAGAATGGGACAGCTATGCAGCCATGCACTGTATGTGCTTTACATCCCCTGTCTGCCGGAGAAACACTTGTCCAGTCCCATCAGAGGAAACGTGACAGACCAAATAGAAAACCTGGTACATTTCAGGATTATAGTGCCTCTTAATCTGTAATTGATTAATGTAATTAGCAATTCCATTTTTAAAGAGGATCTTTTCTGGACTTTTCTGGCATTCTCTCACCCAAAGTAATTTTAAAGTAAAGTGTTTTTCTCTTGTAGAGCAGCATTCTGTTTATGGAATAGTTGAAACTGAGCAATTACATTAACTTCTGTGGTTTTAGGTTTGTTGGAAAATCTGGTAACATTGTGGTTTGACCAGCTGGGAAAATAAAGATCTGTGTTGGAATTGTGTGGTTCTGTTTTTAATGTTTCTGTAGTATTAGTGTAAGCTATAATATCTGATTTAGCACAAGAATGAGTGTTTCACTAAGACATCTGTGGCTTCTTATTTGATTGTTTTAGATACATTGTGTGCATCCAGTTTGATCGTCATAATGGGGCAAGAATGTCACATGGCTTTTCAAGCAGATAAAACCAATTTTAGTTTTAGACACTGAGATTGAGTCGTATAGCATTGTGGCAGCTGTGCCTCCAATGAGTGACCAATTGGAATGGTTATTAATGAATAATTTCTTAATCATATTTAAGGCATTGGTAAAGTTGACCTCCTCCCTCACCCCTTGTATCAGTTGCACTAGTTAAATGGTTTGTGCTTTCCTCTGTTGTTATATCAAATGTTCTGACTAATGTGTTACACTGTGTGTGTTACCTGTGTGTGATGCAAGTGTTGGTCTTGGCATGGCCAATCAGGCAAGTTGGCGTCTCATCTCGGAAACGTTCCAACGCTAAGGTCCTCCTAGATTGTTGAGGTCCACTTTTTATTACGAACTAACTAACTAGCTTCAGCTGCACTACTGTCCCCACATAAACTATCCCAGTGTGCAGGAGAGATCTTGCCCTGATAATGCTACAGGAATGAAATTGACAAACATACAATCTCGACATCACTGAGCTGGATACTATTCAGATTTTGGCTGTGCTACGATATCCCATTCATGTGTATTGACTTTAGCACCCGCCATTGAGAAGATTACTACTTACTGTTTAGGAAGCAAACACAGCTTTAAACTTTAACTACATACATGGGGGTCAAATGGCTTGCAAACACTAGTGCAGTAATCCAGATTAACCCTGGAGTTTGTTTATTGCCATTTTGGCCATTATTTAGTGTCTGAAAAAAGGGAACCCTGTCTCGTTTTATACTATTCATTTTCAACAGCAATTGTTTTGGAGGAAACATGGATTACATTTTTATCAACATAATGAGGGATTAACATATCTGGCAAAATGTTGATACCGTATGTATTCACTGACAATGCTGTTTTCCTGACAACATCCGGTCATGCAATACAATATCTGCAAAGGGACCTCACATTTGCCGTCGATGAAATCTCTTTCCAGACAGTATAAGACCACACCTTGACTCATGTGACTCTAAAGCCTCTCACATGACAGCCAGGTAAATGCACCTGGCTCCAACATTTAGCTTTGCCATTGCTGGGGTCACTCACCTCTCAAGTATTTGCTTGGCTGCACCAGCCATGGTCCGCCATGTTCCTATTCTGGGCAAAAGTTCCAACAATTTTATTGAGCAATTGCCTGAGATTTGGTAACGATGCTCATACAAGGAACGCAAGAATCATACTGAATGTAGACCTGTACATACATCATTGTTGTAACAGCACGCATTAGGGTTTCTATTTGTGTGGTTGTCATTAAAGGAAAAACACTGAATTGATAACATGACCAAAATGAAGAGAAAGATAACATACCTAATGAGAAGTAAGTCCCTTCACAGTGCAGCCAGGCAGTTGTGTGAAGCTGATGGAGTAAGAGAAAAAAAAACAAAACAAGGTTGGTTAGATAAGATAAGCAAATTACAGTTTAGTTGGATGCTAAACAAAACATGGGTTTAGTCCAAACAGTGAGGTTGCATTGGAATACACAGTATTTATTTTTTTCTTTTGGTGTAAATGGAGAAGGGTAAACAAAGACAAGGCGCCATGGAGATGTTGAGCCTAGAATAATGATTTAGTGTTTTCACTCCACCACCTATGGCTTTACATTTTGAAACCACTTATATACTAGAGTAATCAGCTTATCACTTAATGTTAGACAATTGTCCCATTGTCTGTCAGGCTTCTGTTGCCAATAAATTGTCGTCTTTGAACATTGTTGAACATGAACCCAATGAGACAAATAAAGAGAGAAATAAAATCAATGTGTGCACAAATGTAAGAAGATATTCCTTGTAATACATATTTATACCCACGTGGCTGGGGTGGAATATATAAACTGCTGTTTTGAGGAGTACAGGGGGTGCAGTCATGGCCAGCAACCCGGGGAAATAGCAGACAGGACAGCCAAAAGAAGGGTGGAGGGGGTGTACTGTGGAAAGGGATGAGAGGCCCATTGGATAACAGAAGGTGTGAGGCCAGGGGCAGCTAGGCCAAAAAAAAAATACCACACAAGGCAGCTTGGCAACAGGGAGAATACCAGATACAAGAAAAAAAGACTCATGATACAGCCAGAGAATTGCTCACAGGGCAGCAGGAGAATGAGGAAAGACCCAGACCTAACACATAGGGGATATATTGTTGGGTGGCAAAGGTGAAATGGGGGGGAGGGGGGTTGGTGTGCCGTTGTCAGCGAAATGATATGATGTTGCTGGTGTCAGAGGGTTAAAATGTATACTCTTTAAGGTAGCTATGGTTCAGCCTTTTCAGAAGCAGTGGTTTGTACATGAGCTAGAAATTCAAAGGATGCTGAGAGATGGGAAGTGTGCTGTGAAGTAAGGATTCAGAGATAAGCTGTCAAGCAGTAGTTTTCAATTTTGCGTACTCTGTTCATTGCATTTTACCTTTCTAATATGGACCAATTTAAACAAGATGCCAGATCCATCTAATGAAATATTTGGCTGTACTCTAGATCTTGAGGACCAGGACTCAGGGAACCATTGGATAAGGAACTATTGATTTAGTAGTTTTTATCCAAGCCAGCAGCGTGGCTCTATTGCTTTGTTCCTTCTATTTAACTATTTATTGGATTGCCATGAGAGTTTGAAAATACATTCATGGTCTTGTGACGATGAAACCAGACCTTTTCTCCAGTGCTGCCAGCAGATTGACGTTTGTTTATTTTGTCTAGACAGCTATTAGATGAATTGCAATGGACTTTGGTTCAGATATCCATAGTTCCCAGAGGATCATTCCTAATGAATTTAGTGGACAATTTTCATGTATCCTGGGAAATATTGGATTGGCACAATATTTTGTACAGATCCCTGTATTCTAAATGACTTTGGTGACCCACCAACAGGTTGACATTTGTGGTTTTGAGTAAAATGGCTCAACAACTTAGAATTTTGCTTGAAAGTTGGTACAGACATTTCCACGTTAGGAGAATTTCTAATAAAATGTTCCTGCCGTTTGCTGTTAACTGCTGATTAGCAGATGTTAGCATGCTACCATGCAGAACCATTATATCTGCTAAACATCAGGAGGTTGGCATTGTCATTGTAAGGATGCTAGCATTCTGGCAATAGCACGTAGCTCAAAGCAAGGCTATGCTAAGGTACCATCTCCTAAAAGCCACTAGTATGGTTGTAGTCTTTGTCTTGTGGGAACTGGGACAGAACCTAGTTTTTTTTAGTGTTGTGTTGTTGGCCAGATAGTAACTCCACTTTAGTATTTAGGGGGTTAAATGCTTTACCCATTGGCAAAATGTCATTTTTTGGGGGGAGGAAAAACTCCAGAGATGAAGTTCTTGTCCTGGAATGCTCTCCACGCTTTCGGCCACCACCATGGGATCATAATAAGTTCAATAAAGTGATAAGATTCTTGTCACTGTGGATGCCTGTAAGCTGAAACAATAACTTCCGACCTTGTCAGTGTCTACTGTCTTGGCTCCTGCCTTGGCTCCTGCGTCCCTCACAGTCAGTCCCCCCCATTCTTTTATGTCAGCTTCCTGTCTTGTGTCGCGCCAGAGGAGTAGACCTAGCTGGCCCTGTGCCAAAACCTGGATGAAAAAAAAATGAAACACAGACACACACGCACACACTCCAACGTAACAGCTGTGCACTTCCTTCTATATAATACAATAAAGCATAAAGCTGTTGGGTTGTTTGCATCACTCCTGGCTGTCTTTTTTTTCAATCTACTAGTGTTAACAAGTGCAAGTGAGGCACAGGGGGAGATCATTTGGGTTCATCACCAACTTTACATCACCCCTCCTCTTTTAAATCATCCTAAATTCAATAACTGTGTCCCATTCCAACCAAGGAGTCACTGTGACTGGACCCCCCCTGCCCCCGCACTCCCCACACATCCCTCACCTCCCACCCCAATCCCCTGCCCTGGTCACGAAGCATGGCTCGCAGCACGTACCTTGTCTCCCTCTCCTCTCTCTCTCTTGTTGGCTCAGACATAAGCAAACAGCGCTTTGAGCAAACAGTGCAACAATCTGTCAACATTGTCTCCAGCTTAACACTACGGTGACCATGTAGTATTAAAGATGAATCATAATAGAGAGAGTATATATATATATATATATGTAAATGTCTAAAAGATTAGCCTGACTTATGAGTAGAATATGTAAAATACCTGAAAAATATTGGGCAACTTAGGGCGTCACATTTTTGGCATCCTAATTTTGAGAAAGGAAACAAGGTTAAAATCTAGAACTGTGGCCCTTGGTTACAAAGTAATAATCACATGGATCAATTAATGAATCATTATGGTTGATACTGACACCAGACACAATAGAATATTGTTCTACTTATTTCTGCAATTCAAATATTTCCAATAACTTTCTATATTGTACCCTCTAACCATTGTATTTGTCTGCACTTATGTACACACGCGTACACCTTACATAGGCTTATGAAATAGTAAGCATGCAATCGAGTGAGCTTGATAACTTATCAGTGTTTCCAAGTATTTGTGTGAGTGAAGCTATGTGTGTCACTTGACATTGCATGTTACCAGCAATGCATATGCAAACATACTTTTACTTCCTGTCTGATGGGATAGCCTCCTGGAGCGCCTGGAAAGACACCCCCCCTGTCCCCTCTATGTGTCATAGAGGGGACTTCCAGGAAATTTCAATATATTTCCTTAAGTCTGGCTCCAAAGGGGCTGTAAAGGGTCAGGGTGAGGACATGGGACATAAACACGTGCAGAGAATAGAATTTGTGTTTGACATATTTTAACACATCCACACTGAACTGATGAATAGTCCTATTTCTAATTTGCATTGCATGATATTGTTAACTTTTTTAATGGAATGATCAATAAGTCTGTAATATTATGTACTGAGTCAGCCATCTGGCCTCCTATGTTTTTCCTAAGTCTATTTGTTTCATTGTATCATGAGGAAGCCATATTGACAAAAAACTATTCTAAGAATGCTACCGTGGATGAACTCCAAACACCGGCGCTGTACACGGACAGATTCCCTCAAAATAGCCTGCATCTTTCTGTAGCAGATACTTGATGATGGCACAAACCATTGGAACCTGGGTCAGGGTCAGTGTCACATCAGGTTTATTGAAATGTATTTTTAGTAGTAGGATTTCACACTTACAGGACTTACAGTGTTTGAATTAATTGTTTATAACATTTGTGATCTCAGAATTAAAAGTTTCTTTTAGGCTCTCCATATTGACCCCACTGACGTGCAGAACTTGGAAAGTGAAAATCTGCTGTGCAAAAATCTGTCTGAAAATCTGATTTAAAAACACAGACTTTGCAGTTAATCATCATTTTCAGAACTAATCTGTCCTACTTTCTTTTCTGTTTGGTCAGCATCAGTCTAACTCGTGTCTAACTCCTGCAGTCTCATGTCTTCTTTTCTGTTTTGCACTTCTGTTTAATGGATTCTAAAGATTTGGTTACAGTTATCAGAGTGGGCATAACTCAATTATCAAAGCTGGGTTCTTTTTCTCTTTCTTAAAGCCCTCGAGGCAAGCATGATAAAAGTACTTTGTTGAAGTCTTTGCCTTCATCTACATTATTTTCACTCCTTCTTTTCAAGTATCTCAACATCGCTGGCGGGATTAGCATCATTCTTCAATAGATATTCCCTCATTTTATGTTTTCATGATGAATATGAAGGTGAAGATGGGGATGATGATGATGATGATGGAGAGCACTAACTTAGCAACTGCCAAAGCCATAGTATATGAATCGCACCATTTCAATGCTCATTAAATCATTTAGTGCATAAAAGCATCAGCACTCATTTAGTTTCTCCAACCATTTATTGTGTTTTTTCTTTCAGTTTCTAACTATATGTAACTTCAAGTTTAACCTGCTGGTCTTTTACAGTTCACAACACAAATGATAACAGCAGAAAATGAACAGAAAGTAAGAACAAAAATACTAAACTCCCCAGGAATTTACAGGCTACCTTTATCTCATCAACTGATGGGCACTCATTTGTGAACGCCTGGGTAAAGACATTCAGGTGGAAGTTTTGGATGAACACAAGCTGTAAACATTCGAGGATGTGTGTCACTGTGGGAAGGGGGTGAGGGGGGCTGGGGTGTTAAATACATGTGCGTCACACACTGTGTGGCAAGATTGCGTCTCAGGAGTTACAGGATGCGCAAAGTGCTCCAATTAACATGTACACTAGCTGATGTGCTGCGATCAGTTTTATCCTAAAAATCATTTTTCTGATTGCTGGAAAGTTCAAGAATAACATCGATTTATGTCCACGTTTAATTTCTGTGTCACATCTTTTCCCCACTGTGGTCATCCAGTGCGCCCTGGCATATGATAGATGTCAGGGATAGTCCTATAAATCAATCCAACAACCGAGACTGAACTGCTCATTTGATCATTTATTATAAATATTTACACGATCAGTTATTTTAAAAATATACTACTGTAACGAACGTTTCTGAAAACCATCCGAACAATGGATGGGAAGTCTCCGCACGGCGTTTTTGAGACAGTATTTACTTTTTAGGCCAAATGTTTTATAAACAGGGATAGCCTATTATTTGGATAACAATGAAAGAAAACAGTTTTGCCTTAAGGGAGGAGGTGGTGTAGATTGTCATCATAGAAACAATGCAACTTTATTTTCAAAGTCATCAATAAAAAATCAAACAGGATCAGTTTTTAGAAACACCTACCGGATAAGTGCAGGAGATCCACAAAAGAGCTTCGTTTCCAATTAATGGGCAATAGACGGACCTATGGGCCAAACCGCGAGGACCCTGTGAGGGGCTATGCGGATACCGCTATGGAGTTTCCCAGTGAGTTATGGACATGCCTTCATGATTTTTTTCTCTGTACACTGGCTTTAGCACTTAGTCTATTTTCACGCTTTACGCATGGGGGGCTGCATGCATGGGTTGATGTTTAATCGCTCACCGTGGTGCGTAAAAAGGCGCGTCCTCGTCCTTATCGTCACGTTATCGCTATATCCTTAGGGGAGGTAAATAAAAGGTTTTGCCAAAGCACAGCAGTGATGCAAAGTGTGGTAGGTGACCGCTCTCACCAGCAGCACTGATCTTTTTTGACACGGACCTACATGCCGATCGGACAAGCGCTGGGACCAGCGCACTTGGTTGTATGTTGGACTCACTGGATTTGACTGGTGCCTTTAACTTGAGCCGTGGAGCGCGTGCATATATTTAATTCTTTCACAATGTTCTTAAAAGATGCGGCACCTGTTTGCGAATGTTGCAGAAAACGAGTAGAGGTAAGATCGCTTGTATTATGATGTAGTTCGGTACGTTCCTTTGTATGAAGTACCTGTGCGCCTCATCAGGAGGCTGTATGTGCTCAGCAGTTAACGCGTTTATCACGTTGATGATCTGGATGTGGCGTGCAGCTATTAGGTATTCACATCCCCTATGTGTATGGTGAGTTCTGAATCTTGAGGTCATTGCAGTTGTATCTGGGGGTCTGGGTTTCTTATGCTTGTTTTCCTAAAAGTTGTGCCAAACTCCAAATCCTACATGTTCTGAGACCCACGCTTTAGAATTGTATTTATTCACTGCAGTTCTTGGAAATAGATTGTGTAATGCCTCTTCCTAGAAGTCTGATGTACATTAGTCTATGCTGTAAAACTATAATCTCCTTAACAGCCATTAATCATTTAATCTATAAAATAAAAAAAATCCCCTCTAAATGAAGCCAAATTACTGTCAGGTGAAGAACATTGTACACCTAATAATGGGGGGGGACACCGTTCAGTCTCTTTTTGAAGTTGACACAAGGCATCATGTTAATCCTGAGTTAAATCTGTTGGAGCTGCTGGTTTGATTCCCACTTGTGCTAAAGATGTGTTATTTCCTGTTCCTGTAAGCCACTGCAGATAAAATGCTCTGTTTTTCTGTCTTGTTCTCAGGGAAAATACATCTTCAGTCAGTTCTTCTCTAGCATGACACAGCACACTGGAAAGTTAAGGGTACTGAATGCGAAAGCTGAATCTGCAGTTTTCGGCACAGTCGTCACATACTTATGTCAGCGGAAAAGAGCAAAGGGTTATCACAGGCTGACAGCTATAAGGGATTCCAGCAAAGCCAAACAGGAAATGATGTCACGCCTGTGTCATCTGATAGCCGCTAATTTACAACTCTGTACTTTGTCATGGGGAAGACCCCTTAACAATAGAGAGGAGGGTGAAAGCATTCAAATAGCAACCGTCCCAATACAGAGGTGTACTCTAAATAGTATGTCCCTACCAGCCCTCTGTGCCATTTAACCATTAGTACCATTCCAACTGCATGGTTTCAATTGCAGCGCGCTCTCTGTGCACCTGTTTGACATGGTTAGTTAAAATAGCACATGTCAAATGCATCAGTTCACGTGAGCATGCAGCCACCCAAAGCATCTGTCAGATACCTGGAGTGAAGCTTGCCATTACCCAAAGCACTGCCACTTGTGGACCACTGCTTCCGATTTAAAATAGCAACATGGTTTTGGCCGTAGATGTCAAAGCAGGCAGACAAAGCTCTTAACTTCTAGTTTGGCCACAGTCCTGCAAATTCCACCACCCTGGTAAGAATGTAGAGAGAGAGAGAGAGTGCGTACACACAGTTTAGATTGATGAATTCTCACGTAGGCAATGGCGGAGGTGAAAGGGTCACAGATAATCCTCAAGCTGAATCACACACACACTTATTTAACAACGTGGCCGCATTTTGGTAAATGACAAATGCCAGAGTGAATGTAAAAGATTTTTTGTCTGTGCATACATCACTTTGCCTCTGAAAATACTATATGAATTGGTATGTGTTATGTATACTTACAACAATCCAAAGCTTATTGATCCATTCTGCTCTAAAGCGATAATGTAGAAAGACCTCCGGGGCTTGTATAAACTTAAAGTATCACAGGAGGTCTGAAAAAGAACATATGCAAAAAGATTCAAAGGTTGTTATTTACTTTAAAGTGGACACATTTACAAAAGTCTACTATTAAATGAAGCAGTGTCTAAATAAAGGGGAGCAGCCACTTAACAGCCAACAGTCCAGAAGGACCTGTGTGAAATGCTTCATGGTTTTTTCCCATTCAGCATTCATTTCCTGCTAAACTGACCTTGTGTCTTCATTATGAGTAAATCATAATTTTAAATGAACCTATGAATGACTCTTTAAAAATGCACAGCCATATGTATCAGTGAATGTCACACCCTTTTTGCGCATGTCGTGGTGCATGTGTGTTCATGAGGCAGAAATACTGTTCCTAAAGCGTATGGTGAAATGAGTAGTTTGTGAAGCTGTGGGACACTGTGTCCATGCACTACCCCTGCCACTATACATAAAGTTTCTGTAACACGTGGGTGGTATGAGTTAGATGTGCAGTTACATACATAGACTGATCCTGTGTGTCACTGTCAGTCTCCACCACCATGTTGGCATCACAGAAAAGAGGGCATGCAGGTAAAGTTGATTGATTATAAAACTGACCGCCCACTACTAATGTAGTTAACGTAGTTCAGCTCACTCTCTGCTAGTTTTCTGCGATTCTGGGAATTTGATCTAGCCTGTATCTGACCTGTCTGCCTGCGAAGATCATCAGTATTTTCTATCATCCTTCTGCGTCACACATCCAGGCTGCTGTGAAAGAGTGCATTCAGCATGTGGTACAGAGGAACGAGGCTGGATGCCCACATGACCCACAACACTAGAACCACTCTCATTGCCAAATGTATCCATAGAGTTCAGAGTATGCTTTCAATGGATGTCTAAAGTTTCTTTCATGGTCACTGAGAAAAGGTTGGAAGCAATATCTACAATTCTGAATAAGGCTGACTAATGGCCCAATTATAGATCCACTCAGTTCTAAAAACGGGTTAACACAAGGAAATAGTTATTTCTGCATTGTCATATCTGCAGGTTTTTGATCATCAGAATCCAGGATATCACATGGTCACATGCAAGAATGAAACTAAATGAATGAGATACTGCTTAATCATGCTGAATCATGCTTATTTGACATGATACAGCCCTAAATCAAACTAACTGTAATGTTGATGAAAGACTGATCCTTGAGCAGCTAACTGATCCAGATAATGGTAATAAATGCAAGACACAATGTCCCTAACAGATCAAACGGTTGCTAGAATTATATAATTCACACAGACTTCTGAGCTCATAGTCAGTGAACAGAAAATGTGATATCAATAGTTTGTAACATTAATATTTGTTCTCATACATACTTTGTTGTCGGATAAAGTCTGATCTGAAGAGGTCATAGGACCACAATGGGAATTAAGTATTTGTAGACATTAGTTTAAAAATATAAATGATATGATTATAGCCCTGAGGGTCACCAGATGTATTTTCACATATAATGCTGTAAGCGTCACTAGATGAGGGTGGTGGGTAGAAAGCAACAAAAGACACAGTTGTTCCAAAGGTCTTGAGGTTTTCATACATTTAAAATGTGAATCAAGATAACAAATGATAAGTGGATTGCTTTGTATCGTTCCCAGTCAAACATTTACCTTGTGAAAATGAATACATAGCAGTTTTTTTGGTTGATGGCTGATGCTGAAGTGCAATCTGGTCTGATCCAGAGTTTCCCTAAATTGGTTGAGTTTTCATTTAAGATATTTTAAGGATCACATATTGGTCGGGGGGTGTCTGTATTGATATGACTGATTGAGTTTGGTTGTTATAGCTAGACTGACAGTCACGTGCCAAGTGAAAAAAGGAAGACAACCACGCACTGCTACTTTCTATAGGAGTGGTTCTGCAAAGTTCAGTGCCAGAGGGTTGTTTAAGTGTCATTGAAGCAATAAACTCTCAACAACTACAGCTCAGTAGGCATATCATGCACATATAATCACAATGAGAAACAAGAATAAGAGTTCATGTATGTGTGGAGGATAGAAGAAAACCCCCGCAGGTGCTAAACAGTGTTGCTGAAGTAGCATTCTATGGACAGATGAGATAAGCATTAAAATTATGACTCTCACACTAGAACCTTGAGGTGTGGCGCAGAAAGCAAATTGTGTCATTCTGCTAAGTCATGACTTAAACAAACATTAGTTCATATAAAAGCAAAGGTGTCCCACATGTTGTCTCTTTACTCGCTACTTGCTACTTTTCATCATTTCGTCGTTCGCAGGCCTTTGAGTGACTGTCTTTTTTGTATCTGTGACGCCAGGACTGCTTGCCTTGCTGTTGATAGTGTTGGAGTGGACCCGGCCAGGCCTACCATCCCCGCTGAGGCCAATCTGTGACCTGAGAGTCCTGAATCATTTCATTAAGGAAGCGCGAGACGCAGAAGTCGCTATGGTGAGAGGAAAATGTATGCATGCACTCAGATCTAAGAGCGGGCGAAGCTTGCTGCAGAGATACTGTGGTCCTGGAATGACCCATACTGAATGTTTACCATAACTTAAACACTAACATCATTACTCTGTTTTCTTAGAAGTCGTGTAGAGAAGGATGCAGCCTGTCAGAGTCTGTCACTGTTCCCCAAACCAGAGTTGAATTTGATGTCTGGGAGAAGAAAACTGTAAGTACTCACTGAAAACAGCTGAATGTTAAAACAGCTGGCAACAGATTTGGATTAGCCATAACATGGAATACAAATTAAAAGAAACTTGCAGCCTTTTAGTGTGTAATATAGTTCATTTCTAATGGGAGAGCTGATTACCTGCTCCTTATCGCTTCCATAATGACACCCTTCAACTCTTGCCTTCTTTATTTTTTCGCCAAGGCACTGGAGCAAGCCCAGGAGGTGCAGTCTGGTTTATGGCTCTTACAACAGGCCCTCAACTTGCTACGGACCTCAGTCACCAACACAGCACTGCAAAGTCACATAGACAACTCAATCAGAAACCTGCTCAGCATCAATGGTGTGCTCCGTAGCCTCAACATCCAGGTGGGTGACAGCAGGTTCAAAGGTACAAATTCAAAGACAATGCTGTGAATAAACTGGCACATTCCCAAAGAAATGTGATTCACTTTGATAGTTAGTTTTAATCTTTTTAATCCTTTTGAAATATGAAAGTTTATCATGTGCACACTCTTTGCATTTATTATCTAGTTTAGATATACTGTTTTCAATCAGGCTGGCCCACTTGAGGTAAGCCAGAGATGTTCCCCAGGGAACACACACACCCCGCTCCTTCATTGCTTGTCTTTTGCAAGCATTGTCAAACACCTATGTGGTTCATCTCTCTCATGTTAAATTAGGTGGCTTTTACAAGCTTCTGAGGGGTTAAAAAAAAGGTTGCATTTCCGTTCTGCAACATTTTTTGATAAACTTGTTTTGTCCAGAATAAAAGCAACATCATTAACCACTACCTCTGCTAAGGACCCAACACATCCATATTTTTCAAAAGTTTGGTGGATTCTTTCTGATCACACAGTTGTGATGAAGTAAGCAGTCTGTCTAAACTAATTATATTTGAAAGGATAAGCCATGTTTTTTTTAAGATATAGTAGTCATACTTGGGTTTCTTGTTATGTAATAATTGTGTTTTCTTCAATAATATAGAGAAATTGAAAGATGTCATGAGACATTCTGTAGAAACTGTAACTGTAAGCCCTTTGTGATCATCACTACAGTGGGTTTGTGTGGATGTCTAACCTTTTAACTTCATAAACCACCATGAAATAACTGAAGCATGTTGGTGATTTGGACGAAAGAGGATGAAACACAAAAAAGATAAATCTTCCAAATGAAGACAAGTCACATGTTTCTTTGTGTTATCTTTTAGGAATACACCCCACCAGCAAGTGCAGCGGGTCTTGAGGGAACATGGAGGGTGTCCTCTGCAACGGATTTGCTTCAAGTCCATGTCAACTTCCTGCGGGGCAAAGTGCGCCTCCTTCTTTTGGATGCGCAGGCTTGTCAGCAAGATGTCAGCTGATCAGCTGTTCTCCATACTCCAGGCAAAGCTAATTTGTGTTTCCGAAGGCAAGAGGAGGGACTTAACACTGCTGCCCTGCACGCTGGCTGCTGGAAGCGGTGTGGAAGGAGAGGAAGATGCAGCCATCCTCACATGAGAGGAGGAAGCTGAAAGGAGAAGACAGTCCCAGCTAGGCTTTGGATGGACAGGAGATGATTGCACCTTGGAATGTAGATGGGAAACATGGACACGGTGAAGCACACTCTGACCAAAATGAGGTCTATGGGAAGCACTGCTCAGATAGCTGTTCTACTGGCACTCTCTTGCACTTTGTGTGTGGATGTACTTTTGTGTGTGCGCGACTTAAGTTTAAATCTGTATGTAGTGTGTATGTGTGTTTGTTTCCAGTGAGTTTGACCCCCACACTCACCTCTATAGAGTGACTTGTGGAGTGAAACACCCAGAAAATATTGATTGCACCTGGAAATTGGAGGACTGTGAGGTTGTGACAGAGCATCCATTTCCAATAGCACTGCAAAAAGGCAAAAAATGAATGAGGCCTCACCCCACAAGCCTTTTAACATTTGTCAACTATGCCTCACTGAAACATTAGTCTCCTCTCTTGGATGTTTTTCAGTGAATATTTTAAATATATTTTTAAAAGTTGTGTAATGACTATTTATACAGATTTTCTACTTTAAAGCTCCAGTCTTTGTATTTTTTAGTGTCGGATCTTTAAGATTTTTAGTTGGGCTCTCGTTGCAATGTTCTCACGTAACACTGTTTTTGCAAAGCTGTTCAACACCACTCGCAATGACACGCTGCTGTCTTCCTTTTTATACAGATCGCTAGCAGTTAGTTTCACATTGCATGTTCCTTCCAAATAACACGACGAAGGCTAAAAAGTGGTTCAGTTACAGTGAACGAGGGAGCGCAAGGTCAGTGAGGAGGAGGGTGCAGGGTTACGTGAGAACTGTGAAGATTGTTTGGTCATTATCTGTGTTTTTGTTGCTGCCTAACCAACACTCAACCAGTCGCTACACACTGATAGCCAGAGTGTCTGGGAAAATGCTGTGTGGCTTTTACAATTAACATCCTGTGAGCCTGTAATTGCAAATATTTTTCCAGAATCTGACGCTAACGCTGTCTGATCCCTCCCTCTATTGTTCGTCATCAAACAGCAGGCTGGCAATCAGTTAGTCCTGGGAACTTGAGGCTTTCTATTAAATGGATGCTCAACTATTTAAGATTAGTTAAATGTTCTTCCTTGTTGTTTCCCGTGTTTTTAAATCTTGTTGTGCATCTACAAGATGTTGTTAAGGATGTTTGTACATGTTTTCTTTCCTGTTATTTTGTCCCATCACTGTATAATTTGCTATTTAAATACAAAATATTATTCTTGGATAAAGAAAGGATAGATGGAAACACAACAAGGGGAGGTCTGTCCATTTCATTCATTATCTGTGTCTTGTTCGCATCACGTGAGAGTTAAATGAGTGTCTCCTACCCTTAATACACAGTTAAAAATGGTTTCCAGCAAATTTTATTTTTTGTCAAGAAATCCAATTCATTGTCTTCCTGAAAACTGTCCCCTTCATATTCATTATGAACACAAACAACACCAGCAGTTCAAGGATATGAAACCAAATTGAAAGAGACTACTGACATCTAGTGGACATTTACTACAACAACACCAGCTTGAAATTGAAACTTAGGATACTGCAGTTTTTTAAATTATTTGTATCTTCAAAAACAGACATGACACTGTAAACACTTGCAGAGCCTCTTAGGCCTTCAAATTAAAGACACTTGTACATTTACATTTGGCACAGCCATGTCTACAACTATTAAATTAGACTGAGGTTTCACCTGTCAGACACCACTGTTGCTTCAAGGCATGCAAAGTAAAAAAGGAACAACGGTAACAATTCACAACTGACAAAACACATGACAAAAGACCATAATATGTTTAGTCAACTAAGGCTGTCCCAATTGGAGTATTTTTGACTTATAAACATACAGCCAACAGACTGTATGTTGTCTGCTCCATTTTGCAGTCCTCTAGTGCTGTTATCATGTCTCCACACGCAGTCCCACCAGCTGTCTGTATATCTGTATGCCCAGTTATGCGGAAACAAATAGAACTTGAAGACTAATTGAGAACCTCTACACAACACACCTCTTGTCAGGTCACTGAGGGTCAGGGTAGAAAACCTTAATATGAATGGCCGAGTTGTTGCGTGTACGCGTCATGGGCTCCCCGGCTTCATCAGGATCTTCAGGCTCCAGATCGTCCACAAGCTCCACCGTGGAGGTGTTTGCTGCCAGCTGCAGCACCCCCTGGCTGCTGGCCTGCAGCTGAAGGGCGATGTTGATCGCCCTGTTGATGGCCAGGCCCAGGCCGTGGACACAGATCTCCCTGTGACCCCCACCTTCCAGAAGCTTCTGACAGCGAGCCAACTGAGCCCGGAAATCGGTCTTCATGTTGACGTAGACGTCGTTCCGTCGCTTTGGGAGTTTCCGGGGGAGGCGCTTCCTAAGGGTGTACTCCACTGGGTCCATCTCTACAGCCGCAGAGGAGGAGTCCGTGTGCACCGGGGCTGTTTGAGGGACAGAGGACATTCCTGGGTTGCGTGGCTCTGTCATGTTTCTCAGTGGATAAACAGTATGTGCTTAGGCAATAGCTGGGGGCAAAAGAGAAAAGAAAGTTAGAAGACAGAAGCTGATGAAATGTGGTCATGATACCTTCCAGCAAACTTACAGACATCCTCGTGTAGCTGCAACTAACAATTATTTTCACTATCTCTTAATCTGGTGATTTGTCGTTCAATCTGTAAAATGAAAGCAAAATATAAAAAATCCCCATCACAATTTCCTTTCTTCAACATGTGACCAACAACGACAGATCATCACAACTGAGAAACCTGAAACTATTTAATATAAAAGACTACCTATTAATCTATTATCATACACGGTAGATACTGATTCATTTTCTTTCAACTAACATTAACTAACAGTTTCAGCTCGGTGTCCTAGGTCCTTATAATCCTAGTCGATCAACAGAAAATTCAACTATCAACTATACTGATAGTAGAACATAAGTAAGTATTCCAGCTTCTCCAATGCTTTGATTTGCCACTGTTGTTCACAGCTTTATAGACTGAATATGTTTGGGGCATTGACTTTATATATTTGGGGACAGATGGTTGGACAAAACAAGACATTTTGGCTTTAGAGTTGTATTGGGAATTTTCAACATTTTATAGAGCAAACACTTAATCGAGAAAATAAACAGCAAACTGTTAGACACTGAAAACAGTCGCTTCAGTCGGATAACGTTACTATATTCACCTTACTATACCACAGAAATACCATAATATGACCCTGTTGATAGCATAAATGCTAACCCCTTACGGTGATGTTAAGGACATCAGCAGCAAGCAACAGCAATACAGTAACAACAATAAGTACTCTATTACTATTGCTTTAAATAGAGAAAGAATGTATGTCTCAATGTAGTTTTGCTGCTACGAAGAGCTGTATGACTCCAAAGAGACAGGCTAACAAACATTAGCCACGTTAGCCTCATAGCGTTCCCTAGGCAAACCGTGGGTTTGCTTTCTACCTACTTTGTGGCAGGATATTGCATCTTTAAGTGAATATTGGTGATCTCACAGATGTCTCTTGTTTTTCAGGGGTGATTAAATGTTCGTCCGGCACAAAACCAACATTTAAATCCAACATTAATACACTGCTGAGGTCGCTAATGGGGCTAGCTAAAGCTAACGAGCCCCAAAACAGTGGGTCAGTTTAACTAGTTAACTTAACTTTAACTAGGTAATTTACGGTAAGGCATCAACACTTTGAGTAGGTAATCCATTTGGTGAGCACACTTACCTTCATAAAATAATTTGAAATAACAAATGTGAGGCATTACATTGCTAACGGCTGGGGTAACAGCGGCTTTAGTGGCTTTAACAATGTATTTTCTGTGCCCCGGAAGTAGAGTCGCAGGGGAAAATACTGCCGCCTTCTGGTGAGTAAAAGTGAAATATACATCATGAGCACAGACTGTAGACAGGATGGATATAAATACATATACTGAGATGGATAAATATGTACAGTGATGGTAATACAACTTATAGACTGTAGTAAATAAATGTATAACTATGATGTGATATACACAGGCAGTAATAAGGCTGAGATATAAACAGATTCTAAACAAGTAACCAAGTGAGCGGGTGGAGCCGCCGCAAGAGAATATTTGTGTATGGCACAGTACGTATAGTATAATATGGTACTAGTTTAAAGTAGTATATGGTGTAACACGGCAATAAAGTATAAAATGGTGTATATGAGTGTTGTGTGAGTAAAGTGTTATAGTGGCGAACAGTCTGAGCCTGGTGGTGTGAGACCGGATGCTGCGGCAATCTGTTTGGTCTGTACGCAAAGGCAGAGGACTTTTTGGAAACAGGGACAATGGTGGACAATGGGGACTGCAGACTAGAGCAGTAAGTGCTGATGCCATCAGGTCTGGGTGCATTGTGGACTAATCCATTTGAAGGATCTGCACACATCTGCACTGGATATGGGCAGCAGACCTGGGCCTTTTCTAACTCCTTAACCTGGAAGTTTTTCTTAAAGTGTGCATAGAAGGTGTTTACTTCATCTGGGAGAAATGTAGACATTGTCTTTTTTCGTTTTATGTGATGTTTCTCTGATGGTAGTCCAGACCACATGTTTCTGGTGCTGGAGTCCTGGTAGTTAGTCCGTGCTTTAAGTGTGGCACAGACTTCCTCATTAACCCAGGACTTCTGATTTGTGTGTGTCCGTACAGTAAGACATCACACTGGCACATACAGGTACTACAAAAAACAAAGAAAACTGAAGATTCAACAGGTGACAATGAAATTTGAGTGTGTATACATTTCTTTCATATTAAACAAGTCTTTTATAGACATGGGTAATAATTTTGTGCCTTTGCCTGAACCTGAGTGTTTGTCAGCTGTCATGCTCCTTCAGTCCTATCCAAGTGGATCAGTGAACCAACACAGCGGCCATACATTGTTTATCCGGATATCTATACATATTTGAATCACCAAGGCTAAGTGTTATAAACCAAATACCTGACTTGTTAATAACTGTAAATGATCTGGTGTACGAGCTGAAACCATGAAATTTGATTTTATGCTAACTGGGTGGCATTGTCATTATGAGACGTTCTGGCAAATTAAAAAGAGACAGGAAGCAGCTCTCAGCGATGTCAACCCCCTTTATCACAGGAAACAGGATCTCAAAACCCCAGCTGCAAAATACAGTTGGGCTCAGCAAATGCAGCCACCTCATGGTTAAAA